TAGCTGCATTTTGCCAGGGAGGTGCAGCTGGTTTGATGATTTCAAGCAGCAAACAGAACAAAGGTGGGGTCTAAGGCAAGTCAATTGTGTCAATAATACCTGCTGAAGATTCTCATTCAGCCAGGACATGATCAATTCAAAAAAGTTCAAGAAAATAAACAATAAAGTATAACGTATAATAAATAAAGTCCAGTTGTTTTTGTATTGGAATTTTTTTGAATTTGTTATTATAGCCACATTTACCTATTACATGATGCAATGTCATGCCATAGATCTACTTCTACTCTGCTGCCATCTAGTGGCAGAAAGTGGCACTGCAAAAAAAAAAAATTGTCAAAATGAATGAAAACGGTCATATCTCAGCCAAAAATTGGTTCATAAATATGGGAAGAAAAAAAATCCATAAATATGTCACTTCAGCCTATAAGTCACAGGGCATGCAAATTATGCAAAACCTGCAACTTATAGGCTGAAAAATAAGGTAGTTAGTGCACTATGCACAGTAAAGGTTTAGTTAGATTTGTTCGCTTATCACAGATTTATGTTTTTTTTTTAATGTTGAGATTTGGTGCAAGCAAAAGCTAAACTTGAATTATAGACACATAAAATATGAAAACAGCCAGACAGTGATGTCACCTAGATTTCTCAAAATCAACATGTTAACAATTTTACTTAAAAGTCAAAGTAAACATGGATCCACTTCCATTTAATTTGGTTTAAGAAGAGCTACGTTGACAACGGTTTAACATTTTGGATTCTTTTTTCTCTCCAAGGTTGAATAAAAGAATAAAAGTCAAACTGATTATCTTAATTTAATGCCTCTTATCTGATTTTTTTTCCCCTCATTGCAATGTATGTCACTTTTAAGTTTATATGTTTTTATGTTTTTTTTTTTTTGGTCTTTTTCTTTATATTTTTACTTCTAAAAAGACACTTTAAAGGCGTTCTTGTTGGTGTGGTATTTTAAAACAAAATGTGTTTTTGCTTTGCGATATGAGCAGTTCTCTGCCTGTACATGTGCATATAGATTATCAACAAGACATCAAATTGCTCAGCATCAAATTGTTTCATTTGCACACATTCTCTATTCTTGTGCAAACGGATCGATGTTGAGGTCATGATATTGAATTAGAGTTGACTGGCAGATTAAGTAGGTTCCTAAAACCTCCTCATACACTCCAGATGCACCATTTCACAGTAAGATGCAATTCTTGTGAAATTAGAAATGAACTGTGCAACAAACATATTCAGCCTCAGTATATAATCACCATTGTTCACATTGATGGCAGTTTTTATACCACTTCATTATGTGTTCTCTATGAAATGTATAATTTTCCTCTACTTCTGCACACAAGCAATATAGTACTTCTAATTACTATGCTGAAGGCATATTTTTTACTTATGTATTCATCACAGAAAGTCTTTAATAATCAAACAATGACTAAGGCCCTCTGGACACACACATGCTCTCATTCTGTTCACAGAGAAACAGATAAGGATGTTTGGATTCACTGCACACTAGTCTTTGTGCTCTTCTGTTTTAGAGCTTATTTTACATAAAGTAACATTTGATTTTATCTTTTCTTACATGTTGTAAATAGTCTGATTGTGACATAAGATGTCAAGGAAAAAAAAGATAAACAGTTAAACAAGTGTGAATTGGTGTCACAGTGTTTCCTTTAAATTCATATTTATTATTTTTACCCCCTTCTTCCTTTTTGGGTCACAGGGGTCACTGGTGCCCAGCAGTCACTGTGTAAGAGGCGGGGGACACCCTGGACAGGTCTCCACTCCATCACTGGGACACATAGAGACAAACGAGACAAACTCATTCACAAATTAACACTCTCACTCACACCAGTGGACAATTTAGAGTTAGCAATTAGCATAATTTCCTTTGACATGTTTTTAAATTCCCATTTTTTAAATCATCTTTAGAATAAAAATGTATAACCTTCAACAATTTTCCTCAAATGTCTCTGATGAGGAAATTTTTGTTTTTAGTCCACAATATCATTGGAGTTAGCATTGTGTTACCATCGTGCTTTTTATCATTTTTCTGTGAGTTGCAGGGGATAGTCAGATTTCTCTCCTAATGGGAATCAAACTAGATGCTCAGGCTGCTGTGCTCTGTTGAAATGCATATGCATATATATATATATATATATATATATATATATATATA